AGCGTCGCCATGTTCGCTCCCTGTGTTAAAAGCTGCTTCTGGAGCCGAGTCGAACTAAACTGCGGATATTTGTGAGCACATGATTCAGACAGAGTTTCTCCTACTCACCATGTTTCCTGGAACACTGAAGAGTTAGAGAACGACGCGACGTTGATTTGCTTCYGGCAACAAGACTCAATCTGTCCTGTGTCTGGAGCGAAGTGAAGGGTGCAGCCGTTAGCCCGAACTATTTATACTCCCGGAGCCCCGAGGAACAAAGGACCACTGTGATTGGTCCAGGGCTCACACGTGACCTCCTCCTATTGGTCCAGACGAAACAGACAACGCCCCAGCACGGGGAGTGACACATTTAAAAGTTTAAAATTAAATCAAATGAAATCAAATCAATCGAATTAAAATTAGACAAAATAAAACAATTACAAATAAAAAGGACCATTTAACTCAAACACAACATAAAATAAATACAATGAGATTGATATCAAATTAAATAAAATAACTATTTATCTCATCAACCACAATAACAAATTAAATGACGATTTAAGTTCACATTTCTGACATCCACAAAGAGAGGGAATGAAGTGTGGACTCAAGGAGTCCTACGTCTTCTTTGTATTTTGCCTTCAAATTTTCGATTGAGCTTCATATAACGAACAGAGCATCCTGTCCATACAGTGAAGTATTTCTGTTCTTTTAAAATGTGCTTTGTTATAAACATTTCAAGACATCACTGTCAGACTGTACAACAAGCACTGCACCCAGTAGACCACCATACACACTCCCTCTCTCTCTATCACACGCACACACGCACACACACACACACACAGAACCTCATCATGTACAACCAATGCAGAAGTCTAATTGCAATTTGTATATAGTAATTTATCTTGTTTTATCTTATCTTTACTTTATATTCTTCACTTTTCATGCTTGTTTGATTATCTTGCTTTTGCAATGTTGTTAATTTCCCAATCTTGGGACAATATAGGAATTCTGATTCTGATTCTGACATCGAGGAATCAAGTTGATTGACAACTAGTGTGAGTCTCAAAGTTAGGGATGTCAGATGTCATGTCATTATTGTGATGATGCAGTTTTGTGTAAAAATCTTGTCAGGTATTTATTTCAACTTGAAGTCCAAATGTATTTCTTTATGGTATCCAATCGTGTAGTTTTTCATTTCACATCCATTCAGCTTATCACAAGTCAACCTGTCTCACTTCCACCCTCCCCCCACCCCCACCAGAGGTCACTATTTACAAAGATATTTTTTTAAGGAAAAATCATTGATAATTGAGAAATGTGAAATATTTTTTATATGTATTTTAATGTGAACATTTTATATGACTTCTCATCACGAGTTGTTCAAACACAGGATATTTAGTTTGAATGAACACAAGCAAAACAACTTCACATGTCACAGAAACTTTATTTTGAACAGAGCCAAATTTGACATTTTCAGGAATCTGAGCAGCCAAACTGGTAATTGATCAAACATTTCTGTTTGGAATGCTTCCAGGATGCCTTTGTGTCCCTTTTAATATTCTTCTCCTTCCTCCTCTCCCTCACCCTCGATGGAGTCGACTCCAACCTCCTCGTAATCTTTCTCCAGAGCTGCCATGTCCTCTCTGGCCTCGGAGAACTCTCCCTCCTCCATACCCTCACCCACGTACCAGTGAACGAAGGCCCTCTTGGCGTACATGAGATCAAACTTGTGGTCAAGGCGAGCCCAGGCCTCAGCGATGGCAGTGGTGTTGCTCAGCATGCACACGGCCCTCTGGACCTTGGCCAGGTCTCCACCAGGAACCACAGTGGGGGGCTGGTA